TCATGTAGTAGCATAGATTTATGTAGTCCTAATGAATACAGTTGAATTTTTTCATGTTCACATTTAAATAACATGAGCAATTCTTAGTCAGTATAGAATAAGTGGCTGACTACATTATAATTCAAAAGGTATTGATAATTTCAGTTGGATTCCTAGAATGCAGGTGGAATTCCTGGATTCCAGGCAGATTCTGGGCGGAATCAGTGGAGGAATGAAAAGTATCACTCTTACAAGGATATCACCTGGTAACTGGATCTACATTACTGATGAGTCCACAGGCCATAGAAAGAAATGACATACAGGAGAATTACATCAAACACGAGGCGCTGGACAAGAAGGGCACCCAGTACTCAACATTGAACATTTAAAAAAATATCACAATTCACCTGAAGATTTCGGGGAGAGACCTAAAATAAAAATGAAGTGATTGGACTTTGAGGAATTACCTGAATATCAAGTGGATCACATTGTGGTGGAATCATGGTGGAAAGGCAGGAACAGTAAGTGGATACCCATTTATTAGGTACACTATATGGGGTACAGACCTGAAGCTGACACCTGGGAGCCAAGACAGAATTTGAAAAATGTGCCAGCTGTGTTGCACAAATGGATCAACAACAAGGTGTCCTGTTCTAGAAAATCTAAACAGGCAAAATGAAGAAAATAAAATTTTATTTAAGTCATGTGTTCAACATATTTCTCTATCGAAATATCTCATTTCTTTCCTCTGTGAAAAACATTTCTACTCTTCAAAGAAACAGCTTTACTCTTTCTCTAACTATGCAAACCATCAAAACCTACATGCCATCTCTCTCTAACCTCCACCTTGTTCCCTTCCAGTCAACGAATACTGTCACTGATGATATCAACCCTCTCAACTACTGTCTCTCAGCCGATGATTTTACCACCTTCACTTTGCCTAGCAGGCAACTCCTGTATGCCCTTGATCCAGCCACTGGCATGTCCTTGTGGTGGGCATTGCGACATATCACATGAATTATAACACGTGCCACCATGCATTCCATCCCATTTGATCCTTCCTTACCCATTGTGCAACAGGCATATATTCCTCAATTTCAGTTTGATCACATCGCCATGCAGCAGCCTGCCATTTTGTCGACTCTAAACCCTGACTGCATGAACCCACTTTACAGATACACATCACACAAAAACATCCAGGTGTGGTTTTCTCATTTCCAGAGTATGGGATGACAAGCAGTACAGTGGATCTGCACCACTTGTATTCAATCTGCCTACTTAGGCTTGTACTCAGGCTGGAACTGGGAGACAGTATTCCAGGATGCCTCAAGTTTGGAGTACCCAAATCATTACCTTCTCAAGGGACCTGATGGTACACCATCAGCCTCACTTATCATTTTTTTCTTTGGTTTCTTTGTTCATCATAATAACAGGACATGTTGATACTACATCATTCAGTCAAAATTTCTCTGTTAGTGACTGGTCCAGCAACACTGTGAGCATCGGCAGCACCTCCAACAACAATGTTGACATGAAGGATGCAGAACCTGGTAAGATACAGAATTTTCAATCAGAAAGGTTAGCATTGAGATGCTCATCAGATAACAGGTCCCTTGTCTTGCATCCATTGCTCTCAGCATATGCAACACACTACCCAGACTACAATGTGTTCAGCAAAGGACTTTTAGTCAACAATGGATATGTCGAACGCGGGGTCAGCGATTTCACACCTTACCTTTCCACCCCCACCAACACACCTTACCTTTCCATGTTGTCCCCTATTGAATCTACTATGTTCCGAATTCTTTCGCTCCCAGACTAGACAGGATAGTTCAAATTTCAAGGACAGGGGGGGAGGATGTTGGGGTACCATGTCCATGCTTATCCTTTCATTCTTATTCCATCATATTAAACATTTCAAGTTTTACCTGTGTATTGTCTAACTAGTGTATTCAGTCTACTATTAGTCAAATAGTTAGTGTTTGCAGGTCCAGTCTACAGGACTGAACCACAGTCCGGTCTTTTTCCAGTTGCAGTTGCCCACATTTGTGGTCAGTCCAGTTGCCAGTTGCCATGTTTTTGTAAATATATAAAAACCGAAAAAGACCGGTTTAGACCGGTTGCAACTGGTCTTTCGTCCCATCACGTGCTGGACCTTACTCATGCACATTTTACTTAATTTTCGGTCCCTGAATCATCAAAAACGGTCAAGAATTGGTTGAGATATGGCCAAAAACATTTTTATACATGTGATTCAAATGTACGTCCTTTCTGTTTTCACCCTACCTCAGTCAAATCTTGACGGAATTGGTTAAATGTTTGATCAGTCTACGGAGAATTACAATATCTATCTACGTATACAATGTATGTGAGGTAATATTTAGTTTCCGTGGTGTAATAAATTTTACAACAAAAGACTGGTTGCAACTGGTCTGGACCAGTCTTTTTCGCATTGTGGACCGATTAGGACCGGTTGCATCATTTTGAGGTAAAAAACTGGACTTAACTGGACCTGAAAACACTACAAATAGTTGTATTCTGTAGTTACTGTACTCGACGTGTCAACGAGCACACTCAAACACGACTTGTATTTACACACTATGCACTTGTTTGGTTTACAAGTTGTTGTTTGAAACACAAGCTGTTGTTTGGATTACAAGTTCTTGTTTGGAAACTCAGGTCTAAACAAACATTCCTGGACCAAGTAATGTTTGTAAGCAACAGGAAGGAACATTGTAGCAAGAGTAAGAAGGATCTAGATGATTCTTAGTCACTTCAGTCACCCACTGATAACTGACTATTAGTCTTGCAAACTCCATGAATACTACAGGACTAAATGTCAGGGTGTATATCTATATTGTATATATTCTGGGGCTTATATATCTCCACTTTTACCTAAATATATTTTGTTGTCCAATGTCACACTAAATATATTTCTAGTGTGTCACACACCCCAAAATATATTTCCTCACTGGAATGGACTCCAAATATATTTCTTATGCCTGGACCCTGAATTGTGACTGTCACAATGTAGAAATATATTTCTTGTCTGGGATGGACTTGGCATATATTTTGCAGCTAGGGTTGACTAAGGATATATTTCTTCAGCCACAAGGGGTGTCTGGGGGTCCTATATTTAAGAGAAAAACTTGGGATTTTTTTAATATAGGGGACAGGGGATTTACCTATTATTTTGTAGGCAGAAAACCCTCATTGTGATGTTTGTTGACAGATATTTACCAATAGCTTTGACCAATGTGTAGTATATGCTTTGATGTGCGCACTATATGCTTTGATGTGCGCACTATATGCTTTGATGTGTGCACTATGTCCTAATTGGGAAAAGTGTTACACTTTTTTCTGCCACACCTGATGTCAGGCACAGTGCGCATTTGGGTTGAGAACTGTTTCCCATGCTTTTTGGGCCAGAAGAGTTAATGGCTAGCATGGTGTTGTCATTGTTAGTAGTGTTTGAAAGTCCGGTTAGGTTAGGTTATTGGGTGCCCAGGGGCTCTAACCGAGACCGAGACCGGTTAGGGTTCGTTCCCAGACCCAAAATAACCTAACTGGACCGAAGATAACCGACAAAAACCGGTTAGTTGCAGTTACTAACCGGTTAGGACCGGAAAAATAGAAAATCGATTAAAATGGCGTATATTTCTCATATTCCTTGCAGTAAATATTATTGCCATGCGTCGTAGCTTTAAAACAAGCCCAAGAACGCTAAATTCGGTGAAGAATTGACAATTCTATAATAATATTCTTGAAAGCCTACTATTTTAGCCAATATTATAGAGATTTGACCATAACTCTGTCAGATTTTTAGTGTTTCTCATGCTTTTAGATACGTTTTGAAGGGGTATAATAGGGTCGGTTGTAACCGGTCATAACCGGTTTTTTAACGGTTAGTTAACCGCAAAATAACCGGTTATTTCATTTCCAGAATTGACTAACCACTAACTGTGGTCCGGTTTTTTTGCGGTTAGGTCCGGTCTGGTCTCGGTTATTTTCCAGTTAATTAACCTAACTTCCAAGCACTAATTGTTAGTGACAATGTGTGCACTATTTCCTAATCGGGCCACTTCCTAATTGGGAAAAGTGTTACACTTTTTTCTGACACACCTGATGTCAGGCACAGTGCGCATTTAGGTGGGGAATTGTTTCCCATGCTTTTTGGGCCAGAAGAGTTAGTGGCTAGCATGGTGTGGTCATTGTTAATGATGATGTGCACACTATTTTCTAATTGGGCCATTTCCTAATTAAGAAAAGTGTTACACTTTTTTCTGACACACCTGATGTCAGGCACAGTGCGCATTTAGGTGGGGAATTGTTTCCCACGCTTTTTCGGCCAGAAGAGTTAGTGGCTAGCAGGGTGTTGTCATTGTTAATGACGATGTTCGCATATTTCCCAATTGGGAAAGTCATTACATAATATCAGTTTGGTTTGTAGTGTCCGCTTTTTTCATTACAACATTTTGTAGTGTCTGCTTTCTTCATTAGAAAATTGTGTAGTGTCTGCTTTCTTCATTACAAATTGTGTAGTGTCCGCTTTTTTCATTACAAATGTGTGCAGAGTCCCCTTCTTTCATTACAAAACTGTGTAGTGTCCGCGTTTTTTATTAGAAAACTATGCAGTGTCCACTTCTTTCATTACAAAGGTGTGTAGTGTCCGCTTTTTTCATTAGAAATCTGTGTAGTGTTCGCTTTATTCATTAGAAAATTGTGTAGTGTCCGCTTTTTTCATTACAACACTGTGTAGTGTCTGCTTTACTCATTAGAAAATTGTGTAGTGTCCGCTTTTTTCATTAGAAATGTGTGCAGTGTCCACTTCTTTTATTACAAAACTTTGTGGTTTGCCTTTCTGATATCTTGTAGCCTCCTGGGCATATAGCTCAATGTTTCAGAGAAACTGACTCCAGCCAAAGACCTCTTCATCATTTAGAATTCATACACAAGTTGTGTTTTGACTGAGCATCAAGTGTCTTAATTGTCCCCTTGGCCAGCTTCAGTCATGTTGTCCAACATTCATTGTGTCTCCCTGGGGACTCATGTCTGTCCATCTATGTCTGACTATAGCCAACCTCAACATGATCTCTTTCAAGACATTCTCAGTGATTGATTTGCCAGCTGTTGGGGCTACAGTCAGATGCTGTTCAAGAGGAAAGTTAGGACACTTGATGCTCAGTCAAAACACAACTGGTGTATGAATTCCAAATGAAGAAGAGCTGTTTGGCTGGAGTCACGAGATATCAGAAAGGCAGACCACAAAGTTTTCTAATGAAAAAAGCAGACACTACACACTTGTTATGAAAAAGTGGACACTAGACAAATTGTAATGAAAAAAGCGAACACTACACAGATTTCTAAGAAAAAAGCGGA